ATTTGGTTATAGAATTGTCAACATAAATCTTCTTGGTATGAGTTTCGTATCAAAGAAGAAGAATTATTCTTGCAACATAACATTGTAAAGCTGTAAAGTTATATAATAATAAAGGGTTAAAGTAATGTTTTTATATCCAAGAGGAAAACCCAATATATGCTTACCAGAAATACTTTGTGTGACTGAGGCAACTTATTGTGAAGGAGAATCAGAGTAGCTGCTGGGAGATTCTAATGGAAACAACGTCACCGTCTGTTCCTGCTTTCATTGTGTGATACTTCACAAGGATTCCTGCTATTTAGATATGTGTATTAAGTGTTATAATTGTGTTTCTTTTTCTTCTTGATGAAGATGGTTTTGATCATGCAGAGTGATAAGGATATCTATATACCTTCGTTTTGTTGCAACCTTGCGTGAACAGCTACTGCGTGAGGTGCGATAACTGCTTTTGGCTGGTAATCATCTGGCTTTCCGGTCCAAGACTTGAGATGGGGAATACCTATAAAGGTTAAGGTGTGACCAGAGGCAAATATTTAAAGAGGATGATAAAACAAGCATTAAGAGTGTGATTGAGCTTGAAATTACCTGGGGATGAGGATGCTTTAAGGTGTTTGAGATCAAATATGGCTCCACAAGCTGCATCGTTCTTTAACTTGTGAGATCCAATCAGATTGTAATCCCAGCTTCCATCTTGATAGCCTTCATTAAGGAACAGTTCAATGTGCCTAGCATCAAGTGTTAGCATTGTTCCTACACAATAAACAAAAAAAAACACACTCTCAGTTGCACAGACTAACATCAATCCTAATGTTTCAATCACAGTTTTGAGTTTTGTTACCATCACAGGTACTGCGGTCACAGACAGGGCAACGAACAAGCTGTAAATCTGGAAAATCATAAAGCCATGTTACATATTTTCATATTTAGTGCAAATGTTCCTGAGATCATGATCATGAATAAGAAAATTTTCTTACCTGCAATCCAAATACCGCTTTTGACGTCTCTAATAACACATAAACCACTGGATTCCAGCATCCGTTTGATGGTTCCTTCCCTTGGAACTTTCAGTTGACCACTAAAACTCTCAGTCAGGAGTGACTTTCGAGAGTCAAGAGTAAAGGCACCAATGCAACATCCAGTCTATAATTACAGTATCAAAACCAGATAAATTTGAGGCTTTGATCAGAATATGTACTAGTTCAATGTCAAACATATAGACAGTAAACTACAATGGTGACTAATGATAGAGAGTTTCCATATGGCTTTTTCCCAATTCACCAAACTAAGAGAGTATATGATGAATTCAAGTCAGGGACTGACCAATATGCTTTTCCTGCTGACGGAACAAGTAAGAGTGACTCCCATCTGCAGTGTTCATATCGTTTCTTAGTTCACCATTGTATTGAAATCGGAAATTGCTATGAATGTTATCTTCTTTTTTGATGTGATGACTTACCAAAAGCTGAAGCATATAACTTAATCCAGCTGGAAGAAACTGGAGACGACTCAGGGACCTGAAGATCACGCAAGCAGGCAAACCTCCAAAGAGTTTCCTCCTCCAATATGATTTTGTTGAACCATTTGTTTGTGGCTCCAAGCATCACCAGTGATTTACCATCCAAAAACCTTGAAATGTATGTCCATATATCTTTCTCAAACCTGATTACACAGAGAAAATACATTGAAAATATACACTCGGAAATCTAACATATAAACTTAGATCTAAGAAACCTGATTCGAAATTGAAGAAGTTATAGCAATCGGTTTTCAAATTCTACCTCGTCGTATCTAGATTCAACTTTTTTGATGATCCAAAGCGAAAAATATGAAGAAAAAACTCAAATCCCAGTTTCCAGAAACTACACAGTCACAAAGAGAGATCGATATAAACATGCATTTCTCACACAAATCCAATTGGTTCCGAGATTTGAATTTCCAGAAAATACCGAAGATGATTGATCAAGCTCTAAGTCATAGATCCATCCAATACGTATCTCAAAATCAAATTTCAGCTCAACCCAAACACGCACAGATCCAATTCGTTCACAAAATCGAAATCGCGTGTAGTCTAGAGAGGAGAAGAAAGTACCATGAGAAGCTGGAACGGTAAGTATAAGCAGAGCATCGAGGTGATACACAGCCACAGATTCCTCTGAGGATCTTCCTGTTCTTCTTTTTCTTTCTCTGAACCCATCGTCTCTTCACTCGACCATTTGCGTCTCTCCGAAGAGTGTTCTTCTGATTGTTTTTCTGAACCGATCGTCGTCTCTTCACTCTACCATTGTCGTCTCCCTCCGGAGATTTCCTCTTCCCTCTTCTCTCTGCTTCGATATCACCAGATTTCGTCCTCAT